GTATACAGTACCTGGTGATAGATAAACTGACCCTGGTAATGGGTCAAGAGACCCTGGTGATTGGTATACAGAATCTGGTGATAGATAAACTGACCCGAGTGATGGGTCAAGAGACCCTGGTGATTGGTATACAGTACCTGGTGATAGATAAACTGACCCTGGTAATGGGTCAAGAGACCCTGTTGATTGGTATACAGAACCTGGTGATAGATAAACTGACCCGAGTGATGGGTCAAGAGACCCTGGTGATTGGTATACAGTACCTGGTGATAGAAAAACTGACCCTGGTAATGGGTCAAGAGACCTGGTGATTGGTATACAGAACCTGGTGATAGATAAACTGACCCGAGTGATGGGTCAAGAGACCCTGGTGATTGGTATACAGTACCTGGTTATAGGTATATAGACCCTGATGATAGTTATAGATGGTGGTGGGTATATACAGACCCTGGTGATAAGTATAGAGACCCTGGTGATTGGTATACAGAGCCTGGTGATGGGTATACAGACCCTGGTGATGGGTATACAGACTCTGTTGATAGGTATACAGTTCCTGGTGATAGATAATACAGTACCTGGTGATGGGTATAGACCCTGGTGATGGGTATACAGGCCCTGGTGATAGATAATACAGACCCTGGTGGTGGGTATACAGAACCTGGTGATGGGTATACAGACCCTGGTGATGGGTATACAGACCCTGGTGATAGGTACATAGACCCTGGTGATAAGTATACAGACCCTGGTGATAGGTATACAGACCCTGGTGATAGATAATACAGACCCTGGTGATGGGTATACAGACCCTGGTGATAGGTACATAGACCCTGGTGATAAGTATACAGACCCTGGTGATAGGTATACAGACCCTGGTGATAGATAATACAGACCCTGGTGGTGGGTATACAGACCCTGGTGATGGGTATACAGACCCTGGTGATAGGTATAAGGACCCTGGTGATAGGTATTTAGACCCTGGTAATAGATAAAACGGACCCTGGTGATAGGTATACAGAATCTGGTAATAGGTATACAGACCCTGGTGATAAGTAAAGAGACCCGGGTGATAGGTATACAGACCCTGGTGATATGTATACAGACCCTGGTGATGGGTATACAAACCCTGGTGATGGGTATATAGACCCTGGTGATAGGTTTATAGACCCTGGTGATGGGTATACAGACCCTGGTTATGGGTATACAGACCCTGGTGATAGGTACATAGACCCTGGTGATAAGTATACAGACCCTGGTGATAGGTATACAGACCCTGGTGATAGATAATACAGACCCTGGTGATGGGTATACAGACCCTGGTGATGGGTATACAGACCCTGGTGATAGGTATACAGACCCTGGTGATGGGTATACAGACCTTGGTGATAGATAATACAGACCCTGGTGATGGGTATATAGACTCTGGTGATGGGCATACACACCCTTGTGATAGATATACAGACCCTGGTGATAGGTATATAGACCCTGGTGATAGATATACAGACCCTGGTGATAGATAATACAGTCCCTGGTGATGGATATACAGACTCTGATGATGGGTATACAGACCCTGGTGATAGATAATACAGACCCTGGTGATAGGTATACAGACCCTGGTGATAGGTATACAAACCCTGGTAATGGGTATATAGACCCTGGTGATAGGTTTATAGACCCTGGTGATGGGTATACAGACCCTGGTGATGGGTATACAGACCCTGGTGATGGGTATATAGACCCTGGTGATAGGTACATAGACCCTGGTGATAAGTATACAGACCCTGGTGATAGGTATACAGACCCTGGTGATAGATAATACAGACCCTGGTGATGGGTATACAGACCCTGGTGATGGGTATACAGACCCTGGTGATAGGTATACAGACCCTGGTGATGGGTATACAGACCTTGGTGATAGATAATACAGACCCTGGTGATGGGTATATAGACTCTGGTGATGGGCATACACACCCTTGTGATAGGTATACAGATCCTGGTGATAGGTATATAGACCCTGGTGATAGATATACAGACCCTGGTGATAGATAATACAGTCCCTGGTGATGGATATACAGACTCTGATGATGGGTATACAGACCCTGGTGATAGATAATACAGACCCTGGTGATAGGTATACAGACCCTGGTGATGGGTATACAAACCCTGGTGATGGGTATATAGACCCTGGTGATAGGTTTATAGACCCTGGTGTTGGGTATACAGACCCTGGTGATGGGTATACAGACCCTGGTGATGGGTATATAGACCCTGGTGATAGGTACATAGACCCTGGTGATAAGTATACAGACCCTGGTGATAGGTATACAGACCCTGGTGATAGGTATACAGACCCTGGTGATAGGTATATAGACCCTGGTGATGGTATACAAACTATGGCAATACATAAACAGACCCTGGTAATAAGTATACAAACCCTGTAAAAATAATTAATTTATAAAAGAAATATATGATAAATGCATAAATAAATCAATAAATAAATGCAAAAATCAATCAATCAATCAATAAAGAAATAAAAAATAAAGAAATAAATAAAAATACGAATAAATGAATGCATAAATAAATAGATAAATAATAAATAAATAAATAAATAAATAAATAAATAAATAAATAAATTAATAGAATACGAAATAAATGAAGGAATGAATATAATAAATAAATAAACAAACAAATAAATGAACTTCTTAATGAATTAATCAATTACTTAATTATTAGAATAATAAATAAATAAATAAATAAACAAACATGCATACAAATTAATAAATCAATGAATTAATTAATAGATAATTAATTAATGGATGGAATAATTAATAAATGAAGGAAAGAATGTTATAAATGAATTTAAAAAAAAATACAAATATATATTTTTTAATAAATTAATCAGTTACTTAGTTAATTAATTATAAGAATGATAAATAAATAAATTAAATAAATAAATAAATTAATAATTAAATAAATAAATAAATAAATAAAAACTAACTGTAAAGTTGATTCATTTATTCTTCTGCTTTTTTGAATAAAAGTTGATCGAATTATGCAAAAATTTCTGCATCTGACTATAGTATCATTCCGCATTACTAGTTTCCATTATATATTCCGAATTTCCTATCTGCTGTTTTCCGATCTCGATGGAAATTTATTTCACGCATGCGCTCTGCCTGGTTATAGAGGCTGGTTACGAGATCCAAAACAGCATACATATTATACCTCTCGCGCATCGTGACAACGAATCCGAAGTACAATTTGTACTTGCTTACATGAAAAGAGAAAATTAATGAATAAGGTATTGTTCAAATACAATTAAAGATGTAAAATTTTGCGCTTTAATCAATGCACAGTTAATTTCTAAATACAATCTTTTATAGCTGCAATAATGTAGCCCGCTCCTTTTTTGAGGGGGGGGGGGGGAGGGAGGGGCAGAGAGAGAGAGAGAGAGGCCAGAAAATATCAGATCAAATAAAAAAAAAAATTGGAGAGGGCTACATTATTGCAGCTTAGTCTTTTGTATCAAATACTCAGCCTATTCATAGGGTGATAAAAGCTAATTTTTACACAGGTACTTGGTTTATAAATATGTATGTACCTTATTGACAGGTAAAAAAGTAAAGTACATTTTTACATATCAATAAGGTACAAACATATTTATAAACCAAGATCCAAGTACCTGTGAATTTTTACCCCCCCCCCCCATCAATTTATTAGTAAAATGTTCATATTCGTTGCTTTTATCCTTGACGGAAATGAAATAAGAGCATCTGAAGTACAATATCCATAACACAGTATAACAGGTTTCACAATAAACGTCAATTAATGAAATTGCTATTTTTCAAGTTTAAAAATAAATAAATAAATAAATAAAACAAAAAAGGGGGGTTGTTGGGGGGGGGGGGGATTGGACAGGTAAATCTACTTCATGCGGGATTTTGAACAAAGTATTTATTCCTGCATGCTGAACAAAGTATTTTTTCCTGCTATAAGCCGGTAGGCTGTCAATAGAGAACTACAATATATTTTCTGTCGGTAGTGGTATAAATTCAATTCCCCGCGCTTGCGCGGGATTTCATCTAGTATTTTCGTAAATCTTGAAAACAGATGCTCGTTTGTATTTCAATAAACAACAAATAAAAATTATTAATTTAAAAAAAAGCTTATAATTAGTTGCTTGACATAGGAGCTATTTTTCAATTTATTTTCAAAAAAATGTATTCATATAATATTGCATTTAGTTAATCTCTTACTTTTCCACAAGAAAAACAAATTAGATTAATTGCTATCTTACCTTGATTTTTTGTTAAATTTTGTGCTGAATTCTAGGACTTACTTCAACTTGGGTGTCTTGAACATCAACATCTCAATTATATTGATATTATTATGTATTCTAAAGCTGAAAAAAAAAAGCAGGTGCAGGATTTCTGATATTTCCACAAGTGCAAAGCACAAGTGAAAATAAAAAAAATCCTGTTAAATTTCAGTATCTCAAACACCGATGTCTAAAATACCATGGATATATTAAAATGATTTTGAAGTTCAAAGCACCTTTTCCTAATTTTTTACCTTCGACATCTTGAACCCTGGGATATTTTGAAGTTTTCTTGGTCTAATTGAGTTTGCGATGAGGTTTGACTGTCACAGTGAAACAAATGTAGTTCTTACCATAATGTATATATTAAAAGTCTCCATTTCAGCATCTTGACCCTAGGATAATATTTCATGTTTTTTTTTGTTTGTTTTTTTTTTGTTTTTTTTTACAGTACTACCATGCTTGAGATATAATTGTTTGACTGTAATGTACAATGTATATACATTTGTACAAATGAATGTATTAAATCAATTTTAAAAGTGTACATTGTAAATATACAGGGACTTCCTCCATTGACAGGTTGTTTCTTTACATGACAAACATCAGTTCATTAAAAGAAACAAAAATTAAGCAACTGCTACTTGAAAGACAAATTCTGACCCCCAAAAAAAGCCAAAAAGAAGAGTTTTACATACATTTCAGTTTTATTTGCATTTGCCATTTTCCCCTAAAATATATCTCTATTTGACATACATATCCAACATACAGAGTTGACAATACACATATCATTCATTGCTGTTGGACATGGTAACAACCAACAAATACATTATACAGATCCATACACACCAACACAGTGTTTGTGTAAAAACAAAACCATTTTGGCATAATATTATTAAAATGATCTGAATTTCTGACTTTTTATCTCTACAGCCTATGTATACTTAAAACAATTAGCCATTTCAAATAAAATTGAAATCTTTGATTTTTTTATTCAAGTAGTTAATGCAAGTACATATAGTTCTATCACTCATTACAAGCTTTTTTTTCTGTACCTGCATATGTGAATGCAAAAAGTTCTTTGGCCACACATTAACTTGTAACTCATGCATGTTTGTAGATCAATTCTAAGGCATAACAGTCTAAAAATCTAAATATCTGAAAATTACAGTTTGGTAGGTTTTCATTGAATATTTACAGTGGCTGCTGATTTCTTTAAATCACATACAACCAAGAAAACATGGAAATAGAAGTCAGACTTGGGTAAAAACTTACAGCTACAGGTACATGAAAATAAATCACCAATTACATGTACTGTAAAATTTAATTCTAGTTACCAGATAAATAAAGCAGTAAAGAAATGAAACGTGAGGAAAACAAAAAAAATCTTGAATGATAACAACTTTGTTTCTGAAGACTAATTAATAACAAATGTTGTTCTTGGAATTAAAAATTTTTAAGTAGTTTCCTTTTTTTATTTTTTGATTTGAGTTACTTCCACTCAACATAATAACATATACCATAATGCCCATAAAAAAAACACCATTTGGATCTACAGTCAAAAACAAAGCAATTTACCAAAAGCAATTTATCATTTATCAAGCACAAAAAAATGTTCCATCAAGGGAAGTAACTCCTCACTATGAGGTACACTGTACTGGCATTGAAGTTTTCACCCTTTGTCTTCATCAATGTTATATTCATACATCAACTTGTTTTTCTAATGAAGACAGATCCTAAATGGAATTCAAATCTTACATACTGGGATTTTCCTTGTACTAACAATAAATATAACTATGCTATACATTAGAACTATCATTATCAGTTTGTCAGATCAGGACTGATAGTTCATGGCCTGTAAAGGAATGATTTCAATAGAGGGATATATAAATATCCATACATCCTATCCTAAACATTAAATGTATCATATATACTGTACATGTGTATAAATAATAGAAACCCATGCATTGTTATCATAATATTTCATACAGTAACAGTTTTTACTTCCTTTTAAGCATAAAGTAAAAAAAAAAATGTCTAAATCACTCTAGCACCCAAGTATTCAGGGAAAAATTTAACAACCAAATGTTCACACTTTTAAGTTTTAAACAAATCATATATTATAAGCTTAACAATAAGGTAACAAATGAATGTTTTAAATGAATCTTAACTAGGGCTAAATAGCTCTCTGGTAATGAGACACAGTGTGAGATGATACGCGGACTGTAATTAACGACTAGTGAGTAACGCAGCAGTCATCTTCCAAATCTCTGCTTCGTTTCTCCGTATGTATGAAGTAAGTCTGTAAATGATTTATATCCTATACTATGGTGACTCCTAGTTGATCTGCAAAAAAAAAAAAAAAAAAAAAATTAAAAGAACTCTTTTTACACACAGTATTTTGTTTTATTCATTCACATCGATTAGTAATAAACAGCAGCATTAAAAGGAGGAGGATCCTCTGACAATTTGATTTCATTGTAAGAGAACTACAATGTACTATTCAAAAACTGTAGAAGTACTTTTTTTCCACATGGTATTAATTAATACTATTTAAGGCCACAAATTTTCAGCAGAAATTGTTCCTGCATACTTAAAAGTACATTTAAAGCATATATAGGCAATCTCAAAAATTCTTCTTCTACCTGTGGATTAAACAGATTTTGTGATTCCAAGGAATTATGACCCTGTGGAAAATAGTACGTTTACAGCATTCAATTGCTATGGGTTTCACAACCTTATTAATGCTGATGTCAAGACAATATGTAAACTAAATTTTGAAACAAAACTTACAGAATTTCTGTGAGTCGAATTTGCCAGGGTTGAAACCCAAATAGACTCTCTCCTACCCCGAACCGAATAACTAGGTCAGGGTCTGGGAAATGGGAATTTTCTGAAATGAAGAAAGTAAACAAATGACCAATAAATCATAATAGAAAATATACAGACCAGTATTTAGAAAAATCATATGTATGTATTATATAAATGTATTTGTGGCTGGTACAGTAACAACCATCTATCAGCAATAAAACTGAGAGTGAAAGTGAGCATCTACAGATATCAAGCCATGTTTTAAACACTCTTGTAGCTGTTATTTCCAGGGTATTGCCCAGATGGTCACCAGAAGTACCTTCATTCATAGTTTTAAATGTTGAACAATCAATACATGTTTGTTGCCCAAGAATATTACTGCATGTTATTTTTTTAAAAAAAAAACACCTATGTATTATTCTATCCACCTTTTATAAACTCATCAACAGTTGATGGAGTGATATCTTCTAAGCGCCGCTCTCTGGATGCCACCTGTTGACATAGTAACCGTGTGGTATCTACAAGACCCTGGCGACCATCCACTTTTGACAACAACTGTATATCAACCTGATTTGATCTACAATATCCTACAAATAAGAATACATTTGCAATCTTCCTTTTGAAAATTTCCAAGACAATACAATATATATGCATTTTACATTTTATTAATATCAGCAGATTGAAAAAAAAATATGTTCTCCAGTTTCAAGTTCTTTCAACATCAAGATAGTCTGCTCTCTTATGGTCAGTCTTCCTTATCAAGTTCAACTAGTCGACTAAAGTTTCATTTTTAGCAACTTCAAAATCTTACATAAAATACAAAAACATTTGAGATTATATTTGTTCAGTCTAATTAAAATGTTATAGTGTTATTGATGTCAGCTTGGAAACTCACCATTCTGAGCTAGGGGTATGCAACTACAGATATTGATATTTTTGGGCTCAAGCAAGTTTTCATTATTGTAGACATACTTTTTTTCTGTGTGGGATTAGGTTATGCTACGTAGGTGGTCACTAATTCTCCATGGAAATTTGTTATAGTGTACTTAAAATGCATTTAAGACATAAAGAGGTAATAAAAGATATCGGCATAGTTTTCTACCCGTGGATTGAACAGAAATTGTGATCCCACGGAATTATGACCCGTGGAAAAAAGTAGGCTTACAGTATTTTACCTCTCCATGACCTTGTCCTTTGACCTCGAGTCAAGATCATGACAAATTTTCATTTTATTAGAAACAACATGTTGAAGTTTGAATCCATTGCACTTGTGATTTACAGAGAGCCCAGGAAGAATTTTACATCATAAATTGTAATGACTTGGTTTTCACTATTTTTACTTTGTAGATTTTCGTTCCACTATCTGTACTAGAAATAAAACATTGAAATATTTTTTGCAATTTTGTTTTTTGTCATTCTGGTTGAACTACAAAAAATTGACAGCTATTGAGAGTAAAAAAATTACAACTACTTAAAGACTTGAAACTACAATGTATATTAAAGATACTTAAGTTACAAGAACTACAAAATGTCTGAATACATATTAGTGTACCCGTTAGTTTACCATTTGTGTGAGAAAGCTTCTCATCCCCCGAGTGAATGACAACTGTATATCGCCTGTGCTCCTCATCCAAACATTTCTTCTGTGCGTTGTCTATTTCCTCCTTTAACTCTTTCCTTTTCCTTTTTAAATAACCTAAAGTAGGAGAATAAAAACATAGGAGTTTTACCTTACAAAAACAAAGACATATCATTTTTCAGACTGTCTATCCATATTTACCAATACATCATATGGTGTTTAAAGTGAATTATTTCATGTTCATAAGGAAATTATATTTTAGCATTTAACTGTCTATATTCAATATAACGAAAAATAGATGTAATGTTACAATTTTATGCATCCCTAAATGTTTATTCAAGTTGATAAAATGTACTATCCTCTCCTAAGGCCATGGAACACCCAGTAACTGGCAAGATTAGAAATACAGTTGTACTTCGGTATCTCGAACACTGATATCTCGAATACCATGGACATGTCTAAGTGACTTTGGCGTTCAAAGTGCTTATTTATTAAGTATTTTACTCTGGATATCTCGAATCATTGGATATCTCAAAGTATTTTCCTGGTCCCATGAAGTTTGAGATAACGAGGTTTGACTGTATACACCTTACATCATTTCCATCTGTTACAGTCAAAACATTTGATGATAGACTATGTAATGGGTGGTATGATTGAACATGAACCTCTGAGAAAATTGGATTTAAAGTTTAAGTGTCTGAAATGAATTTCAATTCACTTTAATATCTATTCTCAGGTGCATATATATGTAGTACTAAAATACAACTTTTCAAAAGTTATGTCCCTTTACAGGGCTCGACATTAACGCTTGTCCGCTTGTCCGGTACCAGTGAAAAAAAATTACGGACAAGTGAATATTGCTAAGCACTTGTCCGATTGGACAAGTGCATTTTAATGTAAAGGAGTCTCTAAATAATTAAAAAAAACGACTGTTAAAAAAGTTAATCGGTAGTTTCAAGACAGAAGGTGTACATAAAAACCGGACTTCGATCCTGATAGGGATCGCTATTAATTGAGTTCATATTTGATCGGGATCGAAGTTCACTAATTGCATACTACTGAAAAGGCATGGAACCTACGAACTTAACGAAGTTTGGTTCACTTGTGGACATTTATGTTGTTGTCAGACCAGAAAGACTAGATAAAATTTCGTTTTATGTGTTTGTTGTATTTATCAATAACATCACGAATCAATCAAGCACATGTCAGGTGTAATGGACTTTATTTTAGTTTTCCAGTTGACAGTATTAGATATATTTATTGAAAATTTTTCAGACAAGTGAAGTTGAAGTTCGGACAAGTAAATGTCTTGGCCACTTGTCTGAATGGACTAGTAGGGAAAAAAGTTAATGTCGAGCCCTGCTTTATTGCCATCATTAAAATGTTATAAAATCATTGTGAAAATACATTTGAACACAGAGAAGTAATAATTATTCATGAGCATTAATTTTCGGTCTGGAAATAATTTGTAATGAATAATACTTGCATATATAGTAATTTGTGTTTTTAATTTAATATTTTCAAAGGAAATCAGTTCCTTATCTACTGTATCTATTTTGATGCTATGTTTCCACAGAAATAATAAATGTCTTTCAAAATGTAGAACAGAAATTTCAGTTCTAAATTAATTCAAAGATTTAATGAATTTAGTGTTCTTCTGGATCAATTTATAATACTTTACATAGAGGGATAGTAAAGTGGATTGAAAATCAACATAGAGAGGAGAATTTCAATGCAATAATTTCCCAGTCATTCGTACCGAATCATAGCTGCCCATTTCAAATGTTTTGACTGAAACAGATGCATGGAAATCATGTAAGATGCATCTTCCCAATTCTGGCAGTTAAAGTTCTGGCTCTAAAACCTGAGACAAGCTCACTTTTCATCTCAGTCTCACTTTTCCACTATATATTCCTTTTGTAAAAGTGAGATCAAATGTGAGCTTGTCTAAGTTTATGGTCCCAGGGCCTGTGGCCTTGTGATAGCTATGTAGATCACAAGTCTTGTTACTCATTGTCAGGGTCACACAAGCCATGCTTGTTTAACCTCATCATTTTAAGTAGATTAATTGGGGCAAATCAAAATACAGATGTCCATTAGACCTGAAGTGCCAACCCTTATAGACTATTAGAGCAATAAGAGGCAAAAAGTGACACTTGCATAGTGAGCTTTATAAACTAACATATAAGAACATGGCAAATGAAATCTGCACATTGAGCAATTTAATTTTTGCTGTAGGTGTTCTTTCCCTTGCTATTACAATATCCTTGTTAACATTAATAATGACAGAAGAGACATGACCGTTACCAAGAATTTGTTCTATTAGAATGGCAAAAGAGCTCAAATGTAATTGTAATTCTAATAAAAGGAAATTTTAACAAAAGTTTTGTAAAAAAAAAAAAGCACTATTTACCCTCCCAACCAAGACACAACTTACACAATCTAGACTTAATGCATCCGGCCTTTTGCTATCCAATATACCATGCATTATGAAAAAGCAGATTTAAATCAAAAGTGTATAAAGGTTTTAGGTGGGAATGCACTTCAATTCATAAACTAATACTGCGTTCACTCCAATGGTCAAATAATTGTGCATATTTCAATGAAACTTCAGTCAAAACAAATCAAAGAATGACACTTTTGCATTCCAAAGCCATGCATATATCTGGAACAATAAGAGTTTTGCATGGGTCTCTGGCAAAAATAGTTCAAATATCTATTTGGGCTGTGTCCATAGCCATTTCTGAATCTGTGTACTAACCATTTAAGTCATATATACTGAAATAAGATACTCCAAATGCTATTGACCACACTATAATGTTTGCTATATCTGGAAATGAGAATTCCTCTTCACAGATAATTAGTCCTAAGTGTGTTGGCACTTTCTTCAGGTCCCTTGCGTCAGATTTTAGCTGTGAATTCTTCCATTGATAGGGAAACACGGGGAAGCGAACGCTGTATAGACATTGTCTTATTAAATCTCCTACTGCTATAAAAAGATGAAAGACCCTTAAAAGTTTTTCTAACATTGTAAGACAAATTTTCCTGTCGTCTATGGTTTAAATTTTGTGTTATATCAACATTTCACTGCTCATTTTCTCTGTTGACAAACCGGTGATCTCGTGTACCGGATGGAGAACAGCGCTGAGGCAAAAAGTGTTCTTAATTATCATTGGTTGAAAACGTTTTACTTGGGATCATTTCATTGGTTGTCTCTTTCAATATATGATAGGCGGATCATATGGGAACGGAGAACCGACTTGTAAGGATTTATCACGTAATTATATTTATTTATTAATAATATAATAATTAGAAAGACAAAATAATTTATAATCTATAATATTTTAAACTTCATTTTGAAGCACATGCATATATAAATTAAACCAACGGTAAACAGTGGTACCTACTATACCAGGAGTAACGAAAAAATGGGCGGACCACGACGAGAGTCGAACTCGCACCACCTCGATTAGAAGTCGAGTGCTCTATCCAGTTAAGCTACGTGGTCTTGTTCTTACCTCTTTATTAAATTCCATAATATAAATGGTTCATAGAGGTTGTGAAATTCTCGGCGTCCTATTTCATCTTATTGCATCATCAATCATTATCTATATATTCAACGATCTAACAAAATACAGTGAGCATAAATAAAGAAATTAACATTGGCGAAAAAAACATTAAAATATTTTAAGGCTTATCAGAGGCAGATTCGAGTCTATGATTTAAAATAGAGGAAGCACCAGCTGATAAGGCAGGAGGTCTGGGCATGGCATAGGAACCGGGGGGGGGGCGTGTCCCACCCTTTCTAATTTTGACGATATATAGAATACTATAGAAAACATAGCTATTATATATGCTTGTGCCCCCTCAATAATAAGGTCTGATGACCTTAATTTTTTTTACTTGTCAAGGAATTTTCAAATTTTTGGTAGTGCCCCCCCAACTGAAAATGTTTGGTTGTTCCCCCCCCCCCCAACTGAAATTGCTTTAAACGTGCCTTTTAGGGACACATAGGAATTTAAAGAGTTCAAATTTTCAAAGAAATTATTCTCTTTGAAGACTCCAATTGGTACTGGGTTCGAGAGATTTTGTAGGACAACAATGAAGTCTTCTAGACTAAGTAGACATTTTCCAAAATTTCTTTTCGTCATTATTAATGATGAGACATAATAACTTAAACTGTAAAAACAAAACCTAAGAGTCAAATCCCAGAAGCTCCTGCTTCGCAAGAATATAGATATAAAACCGTCTATTTCAAACCTTTATCACTGCTTATCCAATAATTCATTTCTTTCTTCAAGATGGACCAAGATTTATCTTAAATTTTAGGGGGTGGGGTGGGTTCTTGTGCACCCCCTTAAATCCGCCACTGCATGTTGAATGTGCACTAAAACTGACTTTTTCGTTTACTACATTTAAGGTCATTTTAAGCCTCGATTATCCAGAACTTCATATTCTGAATAAATGAAAATGAAATCACAGTGAAAAATTATCGGACCACGACGAGAGTCGAACTCACATAACCTCGATTAAAAGTCGAGTGCTTTATCCAGTTAAGCTACGTGGTCTTTTTCTCTACAATTTGCATATGTTATTGAAATACTGTAGTTAGTAGTTGTGAAATATTCAATGAAAAATCCATTTTCTCTGTTTCATTGAATTGCATCATCAAATTCTGAGTTATCCATTCAACCAGGGACCTATATACTAACAAAATAGTATATAGGTCCCTGATTCAACGCTAAGTCGATAAAAAATTAGAATTACTGGATCAAAAAAGTGTGTCAAAGACGAGGAGCACAATAAAATAAAGTAAGTTTTTAAAGTTAAATAATAATAATAAAAAAAACCTTGTCTTAACCGTAAAAATGGCGCGAAATACATTGTAGTCATGTGACTATCACGTGACAAAATCAAGCGGAGTGTTTAAAAATGTCGGACAGCGAAGACAATGTGCCGAACTTGTGTACAAAGAAATCTCGTATGTCTCTCAATATAAATGCTGATGGATCTGGAGATGATCAGGTTAAATTTGTATTTTGATATTTTTTCAATTGTTGACAGCTTAATAATTCAATTTACATGTCTAGTCTAGAGACCTGTTAAAAAAACACAATAATAAACAATACAGTAAATACATGTATACATTATTGCAGTATCAACACGTTTGCTAATAGTATATAGGTTCTTGATTCCATACATAGTTAGGGAAATAAAAAATCAAAATAATTATTGAAATCACAAGGGCTTGGTTGCAGGATGGTGTGTTAAATTGTCTGAACACACTCTAGTTAGAATAATCTATAACTGTGTCTCGGGACAAGCCCTCACCACAGTTAGAATACGTCCCATATACTTGCAATGTAGCAAATCGGAGTGGATCCACTCCGAAATGATTTTGAAGAATACAAAAGGAGTTGCACTGAAAATAACTACCAAATTAATCATAACAAACCTGTAGCGTTTCCGAGTAAATCCTTTTCACATTCATATTTTGGTAGCTCTCAATCATAATTCCTCTTTGTAATAAAACACAAAATAACGGTAAAATGTTTATTAAATCCAAATGAAAATAAAATATAATTCAAATCAATGTCACAAAGTATAAATCCAAAAGAATTGAATGAAAGGCACTTAAAATAATTATTCCAATGTAACTCAAGTTAAATTCCCATTATTAAACTACTCTTTCAAATTACTCCCCCAAATTACTCCCCTCTCATTATAAAATGAGCCTGCTTATATAGTTTATGACTCCTCTTACTCCTCCTAATGTCTCCCCTAAAGTAAACTAAGGTCAAGCTATAAAGTCTAAACACTATAAATCACTACCATTGTATAAAACCTCCTCCTAACCTAATTAACAGCTCCCCATGACCTCTTTGCAGTCTGGGTCAAGACATTGATAAACAATCTAGTCTAAGAATAAAAGTAAAATAATAAAAACATACTAATCTACTGAATAAGAAAAGTAAATATAAAAAAATAATAAAGATAAAAAAAAATCATTATGCTACATTTCCCCCTGCTTAGCTTTGTACCCCGTACAAAAACAATTAAACAAAAATAAAAGCCTTTCAAACAAAAGTAAGACAATGTAAATAATAAAAGCAAATGATAAAACAAAATCAATCATGTACATCATCAAAAATATGCAAAATAATGGCATTTTAAAACAAAAATACTTATAAATGATGAATTAAAAAAAAAAATATTAAAATGTCATCTATTTACAAATTTATACACGGTCACAGTTCATTTATTACTCTCATTAGAATTGTCCAAGAAATCGTCCATGAAATCTGATATCAAGTCCATCACTGGCACCTCTCTCATTTCTTTGGTATAAGAAAAGTTTATCTCTTTAACAATTTCTGAATGTCCGTCCTTGTGATTAATTTTCCTATGAATTAACTGGATGGTAATGGATTTCTTTTCCTCAGAAACATTGTCTTTTTCTTCCTCATTACTGTTCTCGGCACTCTCTTCTGTTTTGTCACAATCCTCAGAATCTTTTGATGGCTCGAACTCTTCTTCATCAGATGAAATATCCTCATATAAATCACTTTTCACGGTAAAATCCATATTCCGGTCATTAGAAAAATTTGGAATATCTTCTGGTGAAAGGTCATCTAAAACTTCCATTAAACTGTGTTGCGAAAAATAATGTCTTTTAAAGTTGAAATTCCTTGTAAATATCCGTTGACAAATGTCACATTGATAAACTTTCTTCTTGGAAAAATGGTGTTCTTCTAAATGTCTTTGTAAATTCCTTTTATATTTGTACGTAATATTGCAGTCAAAACATTGGAACATTTTCACATAGAGTAAATTTTAAGTGTTTATTTTCTAAATCTTGTTGGGGTTTTTATAAGCCTGCCCAGTCTTGTTTTCTTGGGTTCCATCTGGGTTGGGGTTGACAAATGTCCATTATTCTCCTCCCTGCTCCTCTCTAACGGTATATCCTGGGTCTTGTCTTTAACTGGCAAGGTGTTTTCGGCTTCAGAATTTCCAGTGTTGTTAAATTGATCTTCAATGTCTTCGGGGACTTCATCACTTGGACATAAATTTGGAATGATGACATCTGGTTCACTATTTGTAGTTTTCTGAATAATGCGTTGCAGTTTCAAATAAGTTGTCTTGTTCACTTTTAATGGTTTAAGATTGTCCGCATGAATTACGACAGGTTTTGAAGAAATAGAATGTTGAATTCGATATAACACACCACTGAGTTTTTCAGTCACTACCCAAGGTCCACTCCAATTTCTTGCAAGTTTAAGTTTGGTTCCTAATATTTGCTGAGGTTGGAAACGACACACAGTATCACCAACACAGTATTGAATTTTTCTCACATTTTGATCATAATTTTTCTTCTGGGTTTGGCTACTTTTCTTGGTTTCTTCTCTAGCAATTTCATGGCATTGATCTAATTTTTGTTTCAACTCACGAACATAGTCATGATAATTGTTTGAGTCACTTATGACATTATTATCCTGATCAGAGAATAAATCAACCGGCATGACCATTTCTGTTCCAAGTAACATTCGGTACGGACTTATTCCAGTTGTTTCATGCACAGTACTGTTGTAAGCCATGGAAATTCCATCGATGAATTTGTCCCAATCATTTTGATGTAAGGAAATGTATTTTGACAGCATATCTTTAATTGTACGGTTCAACCTCTCTACCATTCCATCTGATCTTGGGTGAAACGGAGTTGTACGTGTTTTATGAATTCCAAGTAATGAACACAAGTTTTGAAAAAGTTGACTTTCGAATTGTCGGCCTTGATCTGTATGTAACGCATAAGGGCATCCATAACGTTTAATCCATCCTTTGAATATAACATTAGCGACAGTTTCAGCTTCCATATTTGGAATCGGGAATATTTCAACAAACTTTGTAAAATAATCTGCTACCACAAGAATATACACATTTCCACTAGCTGTTTTTGGAAACGGTCCAGCAATATCTGCTGCTATTCTTTCCCAACGTCCCCCTGCTATGAACGATTCCATAATACTTCGCTTTTGTCGTTGTGGATTCTTTCTTTCTTCACACACATAACACGATTTCACATAATCGGTCACATACTCACGAATATTTGGCCAGTAATAAGAACTTTGATTCACTTTACGAATATTCCTCTGAATTCCAAGGTGTCCTGAAACTGGTGAATCATGGAGATACCACATCACAACATCACGCATTGATTTTGGTGTACATATCCTCAATCTCACTTTATTCAATTCCATCCATTTAACACACAAAACATGTTGATGGATTTCTAGAATTTCCCATCTATTGTACCAAAACTTACACTCAGGATCAAGTTCTGTGATTACACTACTAGATGGTTTGTTTTCAGATCCAAATTTTTCAAATAATTGAAGAATCGGCCCAATTCCTTTGTCATTTTCTTGTTGATTACGAATTTCTTCATACGTAAGTTGTAGATCTGGTATTTCTCGTTGTTTAGCACGACGTGGACGATTACGTTTTCTCCTTGTAGTTGGTACTGTTTCAGGCTCAGAATCACTCCTCTCTTCATCCTCACTTGTCACATTAAATAACTGGAAAATGTCACAGATGATGTCATTTGCCCCCTCGATAGTCTCCTTTGAATTTTCCCGCAGATCTTTCACATGAGTCACTAAGTCACCATCATAGACACTATGTTTTTGTTTACACTGTTTACATGTTTTTTCATGTAAATCCTCTTTTGGTAATCTTGAAAGTGCATCAGCATTTGCATGTTGTTTTCCAGCCCTACGTATAATTGTAAAGTTATATGGTCCTAACTGTTGCAACCATCGGCAAATTTGTCCATCTGGCTCTTTGAATTTATGAAGCCAGGTTAAAGATCCATGATCTGTTCTCAAGATAAATTCTCTTCCTAATAGATAATGTTTGTAATATTTCACAAAGTAGATAACAGCTAACATTTCCTTTCGCGTTACACAATAGTTTTTCTCGGCTGAGCTCAGTGTTCTGCTTCCATATGCAATAACTTTTTCTCTCCCATTCTGGATTTGAGAAAGAACACATCCAATGGCTTCATTACTTGCATCCGTGTCTAATATAAAACTTTCACCATCGACATCTGGATATCCTAATATTGGTGCATTTTGTAGTTTCTTCTTTAGTTCAATAAAAGCTCGGTCACACTCTTCTGTCCATATCCATTTGCTATTTTTGCTAGTCAGAGAATGCAAACACTTTGCAATATTAGCAAAATCTTTAATATACTTCCGATAGTAAGATACTAATCCTAGAAAACTCCTTAATTCTGTGACATTCTTTGGTATTGAAATCTTTTCTATTGCTTCAGTTTTAGCAGGGTCTGTCTTGATTCCAGTCTTAGAAACAACATATCCAAGAAATGACACCTCTTTCTTGAAAAATGAACATTTCTTTGCTTTCAACCTCAAATTAGCGTCTTCCAGTCTATCCAATACTTGCTTTAAATTCTCCAAATGCTCATCAAAGCTTTTTCCATAGACAATGATGTCATCTAAATAAAGTACAGCTACATTCCACTGTAGACCACTTAATACTCTTTCAATTATTCTCTGAAAAGTCGCTGGAGCATTACATAATCCAAAAGGCATAACATTGTACTGATATAACCCTCCTCTTGGTGTAGCAAATGCTGTTTTCTCCTTGTCCTGATCTGACATAGGTACTTGGTGATAAGCCATATTCAAATCCAAAGACGAAAACCAAACAGATCCAGCCAATGCATCCAAGTTATCATCTATCCTAGGTATCGGATATGCATCCTTTATCGTCTTCGCATTCAAACGACGATAATCCACACAAACTCGCCAACTTTTGTCCTTCTTCTGAACAAGAACAAGTTGCGACGACCATGGACTGCTGGATTTCTCAATAATTCCCTGATCAAGTAGTTTCCATATTTCTTGATCTAGAATTTCCCTTTTAAACAATGGAACCCGCCGCGGCGCCTCCTTAAACGGCGTTCCGTCACTCAAATTTATCCTGTGCTCACCAATGTTGGTTCT